ACGGTGAGTAATTTGTAATTTTCATTCTTTTTCCTTGAATAAATGATATTGATTATTTACAAAGTCGTTCTTTGCCTTTTTCTTTTCAGACGATTCAGTTTAATTACTTTTTATTAAATATTATTGTGATTTTATCCGTAAGTTTATACCTACAAAATTGTATTTATTTGATTACATCGTTTTACTTTTAGATGTATATTAAGTGAATTAAGTTAATGTTACAGTGGATTAATCTTAGTAATTACTGTAGTGCCTATGAGACAAATATTGTTTTTGCAATTGTAATATATAATGTAATTTTAACCAATTGTCTATGTAAATTCTATATACACGATGTAAATAAAATTATGCAAATAGTTAATAAACTAATGATATATTACAATTATGTTTCAAGATGTATTTTATATATTGTATTATTCCCAATTTTTTTTGTTACAAATTGAAAGTATTTACGACTAGGTAGTTTTAGTTCCTATTTGTTTCTTTTTATTATATGTATACCACATTCTTATTAATTCTATTTATAGTTCTAAAGAAAAGGGGGTCTAAACTGCGGTGAAATTTAAAAGTAGGATACCAGAACCATCAAATGCAAGGTATGGGACTTCCGTCACGAATGGGACTCAATTCTCAGCCACTGCCACAGTTTCGTTTTTATGGAGCTACTGTCATAATACGTCGTCATTTGTTTAATGTCTAGTTGGAATATACCGCTACATTATTTCATTTTTGTCAATTTTTGAAACAGAAGTGCTTAAAAATACGTGATATTTGCGTTTTATGCCTCATTTTGTTAAATTATTTATTCAAATGGAGTAAGTCTTATTTAATCATTAGTAATCATAAAATTTGCACGCAAATCCAGCATAATGCAGACCGTTTTATATTTTATAATTAAATTTTGTGTTATTTATCATTGTAGAGCACAATTTCAGCTTGCTCTAGAGGAACTACGAAAAACTCAACAGAAAACTGCAGAAATTTCACAAAGATATGCTCATTTAGAATCAATTTTAAAAACACTTCAATCTGCTTCCAATGATTCCAAGTCCACTACTTCATTAGGAAGCACTATTAGTCAAGAAAATACTTCAGAAAAAAGAAGTTTCGTATCCAGAAGTTTAATGATGATACCTAAGAAATCAGTTACAAATAAATCAAAATTTGATGATGATATTACACATTCCGTTCAAGAAAGAATAAAGCAACATAATGTGATTAAAAAAAGTATTGGTATCTACCAGAATAAAATTAGTTTGGCTAGAAACAAGTTTTTAAACAATTTGGAAAATATGGTAAGTCTTGTAAGTGCTATCAATAAAATCAATATTTGAATTTATTTTTTTAGATATGAAGAGGAATATTCGTTTATTTATTTAATATTGATATTTAAACTTTAATTTTCAATGATTAAATGTTAAAAAAAAATAGAAATGAATACAGTTAAATGATAGTTTTAACTTGATTATAATAAATATATCATATGTGGTTGCCACAGTATTATTGATCAATCTGTTTGTCTCTCCCTCAAAATAAATTTACTTCTCATGTTATTTTGTATTTAAACGTAATAAATTGTCCTTAAAAATGGAAACCACCTTTTCATATCAGAAGAAAAGATGCCAGTTTGGGCGTCAGTGTCTGTTTAGTGATAAAGGTCCTGATTTAATAGATGACTATCCAGGACACACACAATGGATGAAAGATTTTATTCTTAGGTAAACACTTTTTTTCACTTTTATTTAAAAGTTGATCCTGAAGTTGGATATTGAACTTTTAATATTTTCTTTTTCTTCTTAAAATGTAAAAAAATGCTTTAGGGATCCTGTGGATAAATCTACACAGAATGCTCCTATGCAATCAAAACACTGTGTGAATACATTTAGAGCAGAATTTTCAACTAGCAGTATGAACCATGTCGAAGGGGGTTGGCCGAAAGATATCAATATTCAAGATGAAGAAGCCACCAAGAGATATAGACGAAAGATCGAGAAAGATGACGCTTTCAATCCAACTATATTTCAGCTTGCTAAAGTACATGCCATACAAAGATATTTGTACATATGTATGAAGGTATTTTTTTTCCAAAGAGTATAATTTTATAGACTATGGAAAATTGTATTCTCCAAAACAACGCAATAAATATTTATCAACAATATTTTGACGATGTGGAACCTGCTCCTTTGATAGAACCAAGTTCTGCTCGCATTGTGAGTGTATTTCAAGATCAATGTCCTGTAAAACGTCCCATCAGTCACATATCGTGGTCTCCAGATAATGGTACCAAATTGGCCATGTCACATTGTAATCTCACATATCAGGCTGTTCCAAAACCCAACGAATCTTCCCACTCCTATATTTGGGAAATGGGTAAATTTATTTTGTTATTAAACGTATGCAATTTTATTAATGAATGTTTTACTTTATTTAAGAGAATCCTAATACTCCCTACCTTGTTTTGAAACCGGAATCTCCTTGTGCTTGTCTGGAGTATAACCCAAAAGATGGTAACTTATTAATCAGTGGGCAATTGGACGGTCGTGTGGTCATTTGGGATATTCGAAGAGGATCCGATCCTGTTGATCACAGCCAGATTGAAGTGAGTCATCGATATCCTGTTTTAAATGCCCTTTGGATAACGTCAAAATCTGGTTGTGAATTTTTTAGCGCAGCACCAGATGGAAAAATCATTTGGTATGTAAAAGTGTTAAGCTTCTATTCCAATAAAATTAAAGAAGGAATTTATTATCTTACGTTTAAAGGTGGGATATGAGAAAGTTAAACGAGCCTTTAGAAGTTCTGATAGTTGACTTGGTAGAAGATCGTTTACAATGTCTTTCGAATGCTCTTGGTGTTTCGGCTTTGGAATATGAAGCTTCAATTCCCACTAGGTTTATGATTGGATGTGAAAATGGACAGATTTACTCTGGCAATCGTAAGGGTAAATCGACTATGGAAAAGTTGAATGTAAAATTCGACGCCCATTTGGGGCCTGTACTTGCTTTACAACGGAACACTGCTTATCTAAAAAATTTCCTGTCCATTGGCGACTGGACTGCTCGAGTATGGGCCGAAGATTGCCGGGAAAGCTCGATAATGTGGACAAGTTATCACAAAACGATGTTAACCGATGGCGCATGGAGTCCAACTAGGTCGGTCAGTCAGTAAAACAGTTGTTAAAAAGTTCTTGCTTTGTAAAAAATGATTTTTAAGATTTTCCGTATTCTTTACTGCTCGCGAGGATGGTATCATGGACATATGGGACATTTTACAACAACAAAAGAGGTCTGTTTGCTGTATAAAGGTATGTGATGTATCTCTGAAATGCCTTCGATGTCACGAAATGGGCAGACTTTTAGCAGTCTCAAATTCAGCAGGCTCCACTTATTTGGTGGAACTTAGCGAAAATTTGACTACATCTACCAGAAACGAGAAGACTCTTTTAAATGCGGTAATTAAAAAACCAAAAGAAAACGTTTATGTTGTTAATTTGTTTTGATAATTACTATATAGATGTTCGAAAGAGAAAATAAAAGGGAAAAAATTTTGGAGGCGAGAAACAGAGAAATTCGTCTCAAATTGCAGCAACAACAAATGACAGAACAAACTGCTGAAGGAGGCGAAAAGAGATTAATGAATCGGGCAGATGATGACTTTGAAGCAAAATGGATAACTCCAGAAGTTAAGCAAGCAGAAGAAGAGTATATGAAAATTGTAAATGAGGAACTTAAGAAACGAAATTTGAAAGGTAAGATTAAAATAAGTGGGAATGAGGTGATTTGTTCATTTCCTAAGTAATCATTTATAATATCGTTCGCGAATTACTAAAAAAAACTATTGACAGAACTAACATGAAAATTACCTTGGAGAAGAAATATAATAAATAGAACTATTAAAACGGTGTTCTAGTCGAAGCTTCTTTTTAAAAGCCAATTTGGTTGATTTTTTTACTAGGTATTACATAGTCTATTTTTTCAGTTGTAGAAGATATTCCTGAAATTGATAACGTTACAAACGATGATAGAGTGGAGGAAAAACAGTAAAATAAAAAAATCCTATAATTTCTATAAAATTAACACTACTTCATTAG